CGGGAGCTGATGAACTTGATGAAACACTGGATCTAGAGAGTGTCCAAGAATTATCTACGTACTCAGCTCCCGGGCCAGATGGGGTCCCTGCAATATTACTGAAAAAATGTGTCGGTGCACTAAAGGTCCCTCTGACTTTGCTCTGGAATACATCATTGAGAGAAGGAAATGTTCCAAGTGACCTAAAATTAGGGCTAATTACCCCTATCTACAAAGGAGGTGCAAGAGACAAACCCCAAAATTACAGGCTGGTTACATTAACATCACACGTTATCAAAGTATTTGAGAAAGTTGGTGCAGTAACATGGAAGACGCTGACCTTTTCAACCGAAGGCAACATGGTTTTAGATGAAATTGTTCCTGTTTGTCCCAGTTACTGGAGCATCACGACCAAATCGAGGCCATGCTGGAGGAGGGGGCTGGGGTGGATGTGGTGTATTTGGACAAAGTTGACCATGGTTTGACAAAGTTAACCATGGAGTGCTCTTCAGGAAATTAAGACTGCTGGGAGTCAGAGGTGAATTGCTGGCATGGATCCACAGCTTCCTACCAGAAAGACTACCAGCTGTAGTTGTTTGAGGATCGAGATCGAGCATGGCTAGGGTGAAGAGTGGAGTACCACAAGGAACGGTACTCGGCCCAATCATCTTCCTCATCCACATCATCATTTATGAACACCAGGATATCAATGGCCATCACGGAAGGACAGACAGTGAGAAGTTGCAGAAAGACCTCTCTGCAATATATGACTGGGCACTAGTAAACAACATGCAGTTCAACGAGACCAAATTTGAAGTCCTGAGGTGCAGAGGAACTGGAAGAGCTGGAATGGATCACCACTACCTGGCACCCAACAACTTTGAAATCAAAGAGAAGTGACTCGTTCGCGATCTAGGAGTGTTGATGAACAATCAGGTAAATTTTGGTGATCACATACAGGCAATAACAACCGCAAGAGGTAGACAACAGATGGGGTGGATCTGGCAGACGTTCAGAACAAGAGAAGCGGAACCGATGATCACACTCTTCAGAGCCCTTGTAATACCTATCCTTGAATACTGCTGCCAGCTCTGGACTTTGTTTGCATTAGGCGCAATACGGCAACTGGGAGAGGTTACAGCAACTGGGTCTGTACTCACTGTAGAGGAGACGGCAGAGGTATGTCATTCTGAACACATGGAAAATGACAACCGGAATGGTGCCAAACTTTGAGAGCAAGACTTTCAGGATTAAGACACATCACAATGAGAGAAGGGGAGACTGTGCAAGATCCCTCAACTACGTAACAGATCCGCAGTCAGATTTCAATCCCTGGTGGAAGGAGCAGTTTCCATTCTTAGGGCCAAGGTTGTTCAATGCCCTAGCAAGTGATCTAAGAGAGGGGGAGTTCACCCTGGAGACCTTCAAGAGACAACTGGATGTGTTCCTGGGCATAATCCCAGGTCAACCTCCCCTGCAACACTACCAGCAGCAAGAAGCAAGCAACAGCAATGTGCATGAGGTGGCCCAAATGAGAGCGGATGAACAATAATCATAGGTGGCAATCCATTGTGGCCTGGGACTGCTACGTCCCAAACAAATACTAAGGAATACCAACTTTGAATGTGAGACCCCCAAAATTGTGACATATTAAAACAAAAGGAGGGGGAGACTGTGCAGGATTACCCCATTCAATAATTGTGCCACAGCCATAATACAGACTATTTGTGAGGGATCACTGTCCATGGTAGGACCAAGGCTATTTAATGCCTTACCAAAGGCCCTGAGAGGAGGGGAGTTCACCCATGCACCCATAGTGGAATTAGAGGATGAGAGGTCCTTATGGCGGTCTGCCGCCGTGCGGTGGTCTAAGCCCATCACAAGGCCCCTTGCCCTTGGCCCCTTTGCAAGTTGCAATGGTCCAAACCCAATAAGAGATTTATTGGGTGATTTGACCCAATCAATTTATTTTTTTGGTAACCAATTGGAGATTTATTTAAAGAGATGTATTGCTACAGCAATAAGAGAAATATTGTTTGATTTGCAAATAAAAGATTTAGAGATTGGTTTTAGCTTTTTTTCAATTTTGTGATAGTTTTGAAAAAGAGGAGGGGGGGAATCGAAAAATTTTTGAAAAATTTACAAAAAATGCCCTCCCACCTACAGAAATTTGAATTTTGAATAAAGCTAAGACCAATCAATAGACATGGTCCTTACGCATTGAATGATATGCATCTCAATGTTGTAGCTTGAAAATCTTAGGAGTAGATAGTTTTCTACAGCACCCCCTTTTTTCCATTTTCTAAGAATTTCACATTTTCTTTCATCTTTTAAAAAAATTGACAGGAATAAAAGCTGTCGATTTTTTTTATTTTACACATGTGTACCAAGTTTCAAAGTGATCTGTCTGTAAATAGCTGAGATAAAATTTTGGCCAGACGCTCCCATTAAAATATGCTTCACATCTTGTTAAATTTGATAAAATTTAATAGGTAATTAATATTATTATCATTAAATATCAACAAATATAATTCTCATGTGTGTAATGGAGAATTCACGTGACAACTTTTCAATGTTTTACTTGAAAATTATCAATTCAAGTGATGAATTTCACTTGTAATGAAATATGGGGATACAACTTCTATGATGAATTTGAAGCATAAGCATGTACCTAATGCATGAAATTAGCTATCAATAATTCAAGGTACTTTTGTAACCACTGAAAAATACATCAACACATATTGACATCCTTTGGTAAAAATGGGCTGGATTCAGCTAGCTTTCTAGACTGCAATATTACTAAATCTAATGGTCATTTTCAAACATCTGTTTTCAGAAAATCAATTTTCACCAGGCTAAGCACCAGCTTTTTTTAGTTTTTGTTCATTTAGATTCAAAATCTATGAGCTTCAAACACTATTGGGCTTCAAACACTATTACACCACAGCTTTTTTATTTGCTCAACTTTCCATGCCATGCATTCTGAATTTGAATTTTTGTGCAGGGTCTTCTCTCTTAATGGATTTCCTTCTGGCTTCGTATTTACCTAGATTAAGAAATTCATGTCTATGCAACAGGTACAGTGAAGTTGTTACAGAGCCTGATAGTAGAAACATTGTTCGCTGTTCTCTTCCATACTTCGGCCATGCATCCAAAGTTATGTCAAGAGAATTAAAAGATTTGTTTATGAAATACTTTCCTGACATTAATCTTTGTATCTTACTGGTGAATAATTTCAAAATTGGTTCGTTTTAGGTACAAAGATATCCTCCCTTCTCACATGCGATCATCCCTAGTTTATAAGTTTAGTTGTGCACGGTGTGCATTACGTTGGAATGACAGAATGCAACCTTTACTCTAGGGTCACTGAGCATAGAGGGAGGAGTTATAGGACTGGGCAGTAACTATCGCGCCCTTATCTGGCTGTGTGCACTCACGCTGAACAATGCAACCTTCCAGTGTCCGACACTGACTAAGGTTTTAGCTCATAGTTCTGGTGCTTCTGATCTGTGTATTTTGGAATCATTGCATATTTTTAAATAGAAGCCTAGTTTAAATGCAGCCTATAGTTCTTATCCATAAGAAATTGTGACTAGATAGGTATTTATTTTATTATTCTGCCCTTTGCCTGTAAATTTAGGTTTTTAACATCTGTGTTCTTTCTTTTGACTCCAAACTATATTAATTTTCTGACTGTATTTGTGTTTTGGATGTATCAAACTGACGCTGGAGCTGGTCTCCGAAACATTTTCAAAATAGAGATGCTGAATTCTTGTAGTTATCTTTGCTTTTAAATTTCTAGATGATTCATCTAGTCAAAATCTTAATCTAATGGCTCTGAGAATGGCACAGTAGCTGTAGTCAAAGCTTGAAGGCCAGCAAGTAAGATGGGAAATTTCTAAATTAACACTGAAATCTCAAGCCTCTAAAGTGACACATTTAGAATAATTTTTTATTCATGTGGCCTAATCATGCACTTTTGTAACAAATTAGATAGGAGATAATTAATCTATTCAGAATCTCATGGCTCAAAAAATGCTAGATGCCCTAGTCATAGCTTGGAGAGAAATTTGAAATAGAAAATTTTCAATTTTGCTGCTTATGAATAAAATCATGCAACTCCAGAGGGATAAATTTTTTACACATATGGCATCTCACAGATCAAGCATGCATTTTGGTTAGCAACTTATAGGCGGCAATTCATCTAGTGAGAATTTTGCAGCTCTGAAAATTACAGGATAGCTCTGTTTCCAGTTCTAAAGGCATATAGGTATATTCCGTGGTTGAACTATATAAGGTTGACCCACGAGAAGTTCCGTCTTTCAGTTCAGCTTTCTTGTTACATCATGTAGATCGAGAAACATAAACAAACCAGTCATTCCCATGATGGATTGGTTGACTGGTTTGAACGCATTTCGGTGATTGGTTAATGCCCATGATGTCATTGAGATCAGTAACGTCACAGGCGAAAAACAAGCTCCATCCGCAAAAATGAGCTTCTCATGGGTCAACCTTATACTAGTTCAACCATGTATATATTTCATGCCAGCAACTTGATACTTGAATCTTATGGGGCCAAATTGACATATTTTGGACAAATTTAGAATCTTGTGGCTTGATCATGCTCTTGTATTAACAATTCGATAGGAAATAATTTATTTTGAAGGAATCTCATGGCACCAAAAATGGCATGAAAGCTCTAGTTACTGCTTAAAAATTAGATAAATTCCAGGCCTATTGTAGAGTTCAATGCCAGAGCAGGAAGATAACAGGGTGCAGAGAGACAAGAGTGATCAAATATCTGAAAAGTCTTTGTTGATCAATTCAATTCATAATCTATATTTATGGAAGATCTTGCCATCAGTTGATGACACATTTCTCTTTAAATACTATAATTATTTGACTTACCACATATTTTTGGCAACAAACCCTTGATAATACTGGCAACATTTTGCACTTTTGAATCAATCATACTTAGAGATGCACTTCTGGGAGTTGATTTTTAATTTTTATGGTTTCACAACTCTTCTGTCATTAGAGGAATTGCCTCATTATTTTTTCAATTGAATTTTCAATTGTTTTGATATCATGCAGGTACAACTGACAAGAGTAATTCTTGCACTGATGCAAATTGTGTCTGGTGGCAACAAGTTACTCCACTTCAACAACTTCTTCTTAATGCCCTCATCCTCATCTTAGTGGCCAACCTTTTGCTCATTGTTGTTGCCTGGTGGTACTATCAGGCAAGAATTGCCTACACTCTCACTAGAGGTGAGTCATGCCCTTTAGCTATTAGCACATACCTACTACAGATTAATTATATTCTAGATAATCAAACAAAATTATCAATGCAAAGATTCTTTGGATTTTGGAAATAACATAAAGCTGGCTTTAGCTTTTATATTCTGAAAGTATCAAGTTAAAACTCCTTAGTAATTTTTATTGTCATAATCATCATGTGTAAAAAGCTCAATTGTACATTTTGCTGTCAACTTATTCAAAATTAATTCAAATTCTTCTTCCTTCTTCTTTCTTTAATTTGTGATCTTGGAAAGGATGTTGTTATATTTTCAACTTACAATGTTTGATAATTTATGGCTACAGTTGTAGCCTCTTTTCTTGCCTGATATAAAGTTATATTGCAGGTCGTTCTCCTGCTGTTGATGAGATTCTGAGACGTCACACGGCTACAAAGTCAAAGGGATCTGATAAATGAATTGTTCCTATCCTTGTTATGCATTAAGTTGATGAAGAAATTCTATGAAAAGTATTAGTTGTGTTTGGTTTTTGACACATTCCAATATACCGTAATTGAAGATTTTTTTATTTACTAGATATTACTTCTAATATAACCAAAACTAAAACCTAAGTAAACAATGGATGTCTTTAAGAAGTTCTTTGAGAAGAAGAAAACTGACATAAAATTTGGCAAAGCTGGTCAAGGAAAAAAGTAAGTGCCTGTAAAAGTTTTCTAGCTATTAGTGGTGCAATTGCTTAAAATTAAATTAATGTTGCAAATGCCACTATTTTCACAAATTTTTCTGAAGGAACCTGTAGCAACATTGCAAGTAGTTGAAATTTTGTGCTTGTATATTTTAATTTTGTGGAAATTACCTGATAAAATCTTGCTCTAGTTTCACCTCAAGGAGTTCCTCACTGCTTCAAACAATTTTTGAGCCTAAAATAGAATCTTCACTATAATATTATAGTAAAGATTCTATTTTATTCATTATAATATTTTTTTTATTATTCTGAACAAATTCATAATCAATTGTTTAGTCATGCACTGCTCTGGTCTATTCACTCCAGGTTAACAGAGGCAAGCAGCAGCAGTGGCAGCGCTGTGAATAAGCCAACTCCTCCACAGGCACGCATTAACCCCAGCAACAGTGCTCAGAAAGCTGGTCAGGCTGCACTTGAGCGATTTAGTGCTAAGCCTTCTGGCAATGTTGACTGGTAAGTTCTTTTCATTATATTTGTTGTCAATTATAATTTCCTATTTGTTATGAATTGGACTGTTGAAGCTATCCTCATGCTAACGAGTGGGTTTTTTACTCTTTATACTCTACTTTAACCTAAAGGAGTTTCCTCAGCAATTAATTAGACTCGTCACGTTTTTTCATTTGTTTAGTTGAACTGCTTTTTAACTTCAGTTTTGACGAAAAAATGTGGACTCTCGAAATTAGATATTAAATAGGGAAATGAAATCCATAATTTGTATGATTATGCCTATTTTTGAAAATTCAGGTCACTTCACGCTATCAAGACCCAGGCAAGACGTGAGATGGAGGCAGAAAAGAAGTTACTAGAGCTCAGTGCTGCTGATAAGCCTGGCACTGCTATACCTCCATCAACTCAAACCGAACGTCCCATACAACCTGTACTCTTCACAAGCCCCTTTAGTGGTGAGAATAAATGTTGTCTATGCTACTATGTACCTGTAAGTTGTTTTACAACCTGAACTCTTCACAAGCTCCTTTCGTGATGAGAATAAATGTTGTTTATGCTGCCATGTACCTGTAAGTGGTTTTACAACCTGTACTCTTCACAAGCCCCTTTAGTGGTGAGAATAAATGTTGTCTATGCTACTATGTACCTGTAAGTTGTTTTACAACCTGTACTCTTCACAAGCTCCTTTAGTGGTGAGAATAAATGTTGTTTATGCTACCATGTACCTGTAAGTTGTTTGAGGGGCAAGTATGTGTCCAGTTTTAGTGCAGAAATAACACATTTTATATGGCCTTTTCAACCTATTACTCTGCATGAGCATTTTCCATACCTTTTTGAGTAAGAGGTTTTTTTTAACTGAATTTTTTCTGCTAAATGTTAGATGCACCATGTCTATTTAAAACATATAGATTCGTGATACTCTGTTTTTATTTTTCTAGTTATCAGTTATCATTTCAATTAACTTTCTGATGCGCACTGCAATCATTTAAGGTGACCATGTCGTTAAAAAAAACTTTTTCTAGCGCATTTTCTCATTTATGGAAAAAATGTGCTATTGTGCACTCTCTGTCACTCTATCAAAATGTCCTCTCTGTCACTCACTGCAGTGAGTACCCCCTACCAAGTTATATATATATTTTATTTACGGAGGGATCGTTATGAAACTTGGTACACATATGTAGAATATAAAGCAAGTGAATTTTTTGGTTCCTGTAAATTTTTCGAAAAGAAAGAAGACGTGAAATTTATAGAAAACGGCATGAAGGGGGTACTGTAAAAATCTATCTCCTCCTGGGATTTTCAAGCTACAACATCGAGAGACATATAATTCGATGCGTAAAGACCATATCTAGAGATCCTATGCAATAATACTTCTTTACCGGGACCATTTGAGTGCATTAATATCACAGGTGATGAGCCCGACACGTACGAGGTGGTGAAGGAGCGCATCAGGGAGGCTTTGTATGAGCAGCTGGCGGAGGACGAGAGCAAGATGGTCGCTGCCTGTCTCATCATTTACACGTGCAACAAAAATAAGGAAAAGGTTCTGGTCCCAAATCTCGCTCTGCTTGTATGAGATAAATTTTAGCTTTTATTATTTCATTAGTGTTCCTATTTACATGTGACATGTGCTTTTTTTCGTAAGCTCTTGATTTTGATGAAACGTTCTTAAAAGTGTCTTTAAAACTTATCTGAAATTAACATCACATCGTCAGATGTCTTACATTGGGGCTGACCTACAACAACATTTTAATGCAAATATTTGCGCGCAGATTCAGATATGCGTGGACACTCTGCGCAAGTATCTGCATAACGTGATATTGCATCCGTCGGAGGAAAAGTATCGCCGCATACGTGTTGGCAACCCCGCGTTCAGTGAGCGTGTAGCGGCCATGCAGGGCGGTGTTGAGTTGCTGCGAGCTGTTGGCTTCATTGAGCAGCAGTTGTCTCAGCAGCCAGACGATCAGGCAGCCACCGAAACATTCTACGTACAGTTTGTTTTTCTTGTATTATTTCATTAGGTCCGCTATGGACTTTGTCTAACATCAATTTGAGAAATGATAATAATGAAATATGTCTCTAGTCAAGCTAAGTATTTCTCTTGTGTATATATATTATAATATATACTCGGGGCTGTATACGAAGTGAGGCTTGAGTACAAAGGTGGATACGTACAAATTTAGTATTGCAAACAGTTAGTAGAAGTATATGAAGTTGTGCTTAGTTTGCCTGTCAAAAATTCAGGTATTCCCGAGTGACGGAGACGTGGAGAGCCTTAACACCGCCATGGAGTGCCTGGAGGCAGGGGAGGCGGTGCGTCCTGTGCTGCACCGCAGCCCTGCTGTGCTGCTCCCTCAACAGGCTGCCCGTCAGCCCGTGCTCCCTCCCGAGTTTTTTACGCTCACCAAAGAAGAACTTCTGAGGGAAATGCAACTCAGGTTGATAGCTTGGGTTTGCTGTGAAGATCTTATTATAATGTCAAGTCTAAGTTGCTATAATAATGGTTCATGCAGATATATTGCTGACTGAATGTTATTTTATGGCTTGCTGTTGGGCCACAGAAGTGAAATCACAGCCTTTAGTTGATGTTCTTTTATGTATGGTTTTTTGTTGGGCGCATGTTTTTCCTGCGTAACCATAGAGATTTATTTTCATTTTCCTATTATCACGGTTTTTTCATTCCCTAATGACCAGGAAAGAAGCTGTCGAGGAGTCGCTTGTCTTGAGGACCAAAGCTATGCGGGATCGTGCAAATGCACGCGAGATGCGTAAATATCGCTTCAGTTTTATCAGAGTCCGTTTCCCCGACGGTCTCACTCTGCAGGGTACTTTCAAAGTCTCAGAGAAGCTCCAAGACGTCAGAGAATTTGTTAGAAGTTATCTAGTCAACGACTGGCGGCCGTTCCATCTTTGCCTTAGTGGCGGGAAAAAGGTTAGTGCCTGAGGAACACTTAGCTAATGGCTGTGCCAACTGCCAAGTCTCGGCACAGTGCAAAAGTGTTGAGAATTATCGGACTGGGGATTCTTCGGCAATGAGAATTCAAATTCTTATCAGAAATAAAAACGAAGTAGTAACCTGTAAGCTAAAGCATTTGAAGTATCGTTGGCACTGTCAAGATTGAAATTGCAAGGTGTAAAACAATTTAATTTGTTGGCAACATGGTCACGAAGCGGGTATATGCAATCCATAATCAATGTTTTTATTCTCTACAATTGGAAAAAGTCCATAAATACTGTTAAAAGTACCTCAAATTTGAAATGTTTTAAACATATTTCTGTTATATCAATTCAAGAGACAGATTTAATTTCTCCTTAGCCGTAAAAAGTGACCTCAATATAGAATATTTAAATACGGTTATTTTATTCCAAACAATAAAATTTTTATTCTTTTATAGTCCATTCCTTGCTTAGTAGTAAAAATACGCAATAATTGATTTATATGTGCAGTTCAGTGAGGAAGACAATGAGCGCACTTTAGCCGAGGTGTTCATGGTGCCAGCGGCGTTACTGAATTTCCAATGGGATGAGACCGTCTCAGATGAGCAGCTCGACGACTTCATATTGCTGAAACCTGAAGCGCTTGAACAGCTCATAGAACAGCAACCTGAGAACCAGTCTTAGCCTTCAGTAGGAAACTTATTTACGCTAAGTTGAATATGAGTCAAAGCTATAGGAAAGTTTGTTTATTATCATTGATGTAAAGTAAATGAACGACGGGTTCATTCGGAACATTAAAGAGAAGCTAATCGGAAGAAATATGCAGAACTCCTACGTTTCGATACCTATACTTTGACGTTTAATTTGACATTTGTAATAAGTTTCATCTATCAAATTGCAGGCATAAGAATTTGCTAATTTGACAGGAAAGAACGAAATAATTAAAGGAAAAACAATTTGGGAAACTTGTACTTCTTACAGTGAGCGATACAATCGTATTATTAATAATTTGATGGTAAATAAATAGGTGTTGAGCAGATAAACCTGGTGTGAATTAATTTTTTTATGAAGTATAAATTTTTTTTCATGAATTGACTTTAAAAAAGAAACTGAAGTATATGGTCGAATAAATATTGACGAAAAACTATATTCAGGTATAGTGCGCGATGCCGAAATGCGTAAAGCCGAGCATGTTGCATCTATTGAAGGACTCTTTAGAAACATTCTAATTTCAAAGGTAAAGATTCCTCTTATCTTTACGACAGAGAATGTTTTTCGCGGTACTTAACGCTTACATCATGCTAGGAACGCATATATATTAAGAGCTTGATTGTTTAATGAGTTTTGCTAGCATTGAAATGTTCAAAAGTTATTTGAGAATCTGAAGCGCTATGTCAGAATAATATTTACTGCTTGTCTGCTTTGAGTTTGAACTTTAAGCGTTTGTATGGAATATTGTCATTTTTGGATGTATTTTGTCATTTTCTGCATTGACCACAATTCATGTATCAATCTAAACACGAATTCTTCCATAAAATATACAGTATATAGATGTTGACTCTCAAAATATTAACCTGGGATTGTCTTTCCATTCGATACTCGTGAATGACAATAGAAAATAAATTGTCCAATCAGAGGTTTAGTTGGAACTTGCGGGCGAGTTAAATAGAGGTTGATTATAAGGAACCAACGAGTTAGTGAATAACACGTGTATGTAGATCAAGCATAATTCTAAATTTTCCTCCTCTTGAAAAGTAGATCGGATTTTAATCAACGGAACATCACTGATCGACGATCATGACGAATCACCGCTAAGTTAGGCATATGGCAATTAACGTAACAATTGTATAATCTATACATTCCCGATTGGGCTAACGAGTGAAATAAGTTTTGTAAAACATCCATTTCATTCTTGACCGTAATGAAGTTGGCACAGGTCTTGAGGCACAACATCCTGCATACATATTCCGATCCTAGCCGAGTAATTGATTGACTCTGAGCTGTCATACACACCACAACCTTCAGGGTTTGTTTGAGAGTCCTTCGTGTCACACAGAGTCACGTCATCTATGCGCCTCTGTTTGAGATGTTGAGTTTCTTTATCATCTAACCACTGTCTCTTGATATTATTTTTATTCACGATAGCAGTCGCCTCTTTCGGCTTTTCCTTGGAATTTAAACCATAATAGTTGACTGGTGGCGGTGGCTGCTGCTGCATCATGGTGGTGGTGGTGGTTGCTAATATCGAGTTCTCCATAAGAGGTTGTAGCCGCTGCGTAGTCGGATGAGGTCCGTGTTGCGGAGGTTGGTCGCTGAGATACCGGCTGAAAGTGTTGACTTGAACTGGTGTCTGCCACGACGTCGTATGATCGCCAGCATATGAAGCTGGAGCTTGGCCGTGATTGGGAGCATGATCCCCGTATGAGCACGGTACCGGACGCTTTGAGTGCTGTGGCAATGGACTTGGCTGCATCGATTCACTGCAGCCACGAGCAGCCATGGATGGGGCTTGGTTGTGGTTAGCTTGGCTGTGAATTGACGGCATCATAAGTGGCCGGACTGGTGGAGGCTGAAAAGACGTTATTTTTCGGCTTGGGATTTGACTACTAGTTCCTTTTTCACAGCGCAGTTGCTTTTTGTTCTCTTCAATCAAGGTTTTCAACGACGCCCAAATGTAAAATACTGGATCCGGAGTACATGATTTTTCTTCAACAATCCACTGTTCGTAAATTGGTCTAACTTTATCTGACACGAAATTATGTATGATGTGTTCCAGAGCGTCGGATATTCCTCGTATGTATTCGTTTCCTGTAGGTTGGGGGGTACGTTTGGATGGTCTAGTACCCGTATGCAGTGGTCTACCAGGGGCTCGCTCGTGGAAAGTTTTGAGGGAAAATCTAGGCCTAGTCGGAATTTTTGTGGTGTCTATCATCTCGGGGTTAAGGGGCACAAGTCCTGCCTCTTTGAAGCCGCTGATGGCATTTTCTTTTATGGCGGCGCTGTGCCATGCATTAATGAACACTAGCGGGAAATGTTTCTTGTTGATGGCGGGGCCGTGAGTTGGCATAAAATGGTCAACACTGTCTTTGTATGAAGCTTTAAGCGTTTTAAAAATGCCTACGTCAACAGGCTGCATGAGGTGATTAGCGTGAGGTGGAAGCAGATGCATAATAAGCCCCGCTTCTTTAGCCATCTCACAGGTGTTAAGGTTGATATGACACGTATGGCTATCGAGAAGTAGTAACACTGGCCTTTGAACGTTGTGGTTATCCAAGTAACTTATAAGGCCTTCAACCCATACACTAAACAGTTCGTGATCAATACCTCCACGCTTACTGAAACCAACATCAAAAAGTGTAGGATCCACTTGGTTCTGCAATTGCTGCAGAGGAATTTTTCTACCTTCGAAAACGATGAATGGTCTCAAATAGGTTCCAGAAGCACTTATACACGTCATGACGGTTATCATCTTACGTCCCGTACTGCAGAATTTAGGTACGTTCCGCTTCCCCTTCTGGGTAAGCACTTTGGACAGCCTATCTTCGCCCTGCAACATCACGACAACCTCGACAGAATTGAATATTCTATTCCCATTTGCTGGCTGCAAGAATGTCTTGGGGTCAAGTCCTTCTTCTTTCAAGTGAGTTTGCAAGTCGACAAACCATTTCTTTATATCTTCTTTAGTGAATGTATCTGGCACAGGAACATCATCAGTCTTGGCAGGTGAAAGATTAGGATGCCTCTTCTTGAAAGCCCTAAGCCAGCCAGAGGAAGGAATGTTATTGTTAGTGAAAACTTTGGTGTGTCCAGACCTGTCGAGCATTTCTTTGACTGCCAAGGAGAGCCTTTTCCAGCTGGGAGGCTGCCCCATTCTTGCGGTCTCCAGCACCCAATCCACAACGAGCTTTTCTTCTTCGGGACTCAGGGCTGGCGGGGCGCCGCTTTTACGTGACCCTACAGGGTCAGTGGACTTGAGGCGAAAGCGGAGCGTCGACCGGGGAATACTGAACATCTTAGCGGCATCGGACACGGTACCGCCACACTGGTTCAGCCAGTTCACCGCGTCCTCGATGTTCTTTTCCGCGTAGTTCAGCTTGCGACGTTTAGCTCCTGCGTCTCCTGTGTGTAGTGCTTAAATTGAATGGATATCCTGAATAAATAAAACTAAAAAAATGATTGCAATTGGTGCTTGTAAAATATTAATGATTCTAGTAATTCATAAACGCGGGTAACAACTCACCTTCAGTAGAGCACGAAGCACTAGGACTCGGGATCTCCCGACTGTCGTCGAGGTTTCGGGATTCGCTGGGTTCAGCAGTCTCTTCATCACCTACTGATGTAGATTTCCTGCCATCTTGTTCTTCCGCCGTTTCTTCTTCTTCATCTTCGTCATCGTCTTCTTCATCCTCCTGTTCTTCTTCTTCTCCATCCTCTTCATCATCATCGTCGTCTTCATCATCTTCGTCCACATCCTCCTCCCCTTCTTCACTTTCGGCCCCTTCTTCATCTTCATAATTATTCTCTTCAGCTGTTAATGTGTACAGATTATCAGACTAAATGTGTACAGATTATAAGACTAAAAAAATCTGAACTTGAGAGTAAGTTTTCGCATGCAAATTGAGTGTTGAAATACGTTGATTGAGGACATCAATAAACCCTCCATCAATTGGGGACATAAGCAAGACTTATGTTGCAGACGAGTCTTTTATTTCAACTTCGGGCAATGAAAATTGCATCAAACAATCAGAAATGCATATGCATCAGTGACTGGTGCACTAAAAAAAGGCTCATCTTGATGAAAACAAAGCGATACTGCGACGAAGACACGTACCTCCTACAGTAGTTTGGCTCTCGCCTTGCTCCTCTTCGGGTTGCTGCTCCATGGTTATCTCCTGCAAAAACCGGACACTGATTAAGTTCATGCTAAACATTGGGCAGAACTCATAATTAAGAAATTAATTTAAGGTTAGAGCCTTCTAACTTATATTTAACGTAGCGAAATAGCGATTCATGCCTTTACTCGTGTTCAAGAGGAAGTTTATCGAAGATTTAAACCATTTTGATCCTAAATTTTAAGGAGTTCAGGAAAACCCTATATCCCTTTTGAGACGCTAGACGCAAGAGAAATAATTTCCGGGAGCTGAAAGCAATATACATACTATTGGAGTACTTTCAAATTTAAAAATTCACATGGTTATCAGCCTACCAATAATTTTCACCGTAAATTAGCTCGCAGACGCAAATTGCTTTCTAAATCATGTCAAGGAGACTGGGCAACTGTGCACCTACTAGGCCTACTGTAACTTATTTACCACGGTTCAAAATATTGTTTAAATTGTAAATTAAAGTTATTTTTTATTTTATTACTGATAACAGTTTATTCAATTTTTAATATTTGTATGGTACATAAAATTTCAGGTACGGAGAAAAAATATAAAGTTTAAGACGTCCGTAACGACAAAAAAATTGTTACTATTCCCTCGTCGCATTCTCACTTGACACTTCATTTCAATCAGTTTGAACAGGAAAACAGCATTGACGAAAATTAATGAAAATGTCAAACATCTAAAATGCAAATTAATCCAATCATACATGAAAATTAAACCAATCATACATAAAAAAACACTCATTGAAGGTTGTGTAAAATTGAGGACCTTACTGGCTTACAGTTACACTGCTTCAGAAAAATAAAATATTGCTCATGACTCGGGAAAGAAATCGAACAAGGGAATAAAGGTTTCAAGTCGAGGCGCCTAGGAGCTGGCAACATAAATATACCATTGCACGATACGCCTTCCCTTTTGAAAGACATTTATAAACACTGCCTTGCAGCTTTCAATGTATGAGCACATCTGCACGCAGGTAAGTGATAGCAATGCAGCGCTGCTTTTCTTACTGTATTCCTACAACGGACGGCAATGAAAGGTCGAGTTGTGTAGATTCACATCAGCCACACTGTCATGGCGACGATCGACATCATTTTTACCATGGCAGCTGTAAGGCGTCCACTTACAAAACAGGAAGCGATACCTTCAGTTGCGCCAAAACTTTTATCGAACACGAAATCAATAATAATAGACTATTGATAAGAACTCATCACTGTTAATCGTTAAAATATGTGGATGTAGTTCTCGACACGGTTCATGTTGTCAGCTCGACCAGCACAACTGATCGTTCAGCCGCGCCTCGTTGCTGTAGTTGCCACATTCGCCAGAGGTGAAGCCACCGTTTGGCCACCATTGGTTTTGACCATCACACAAGCTTCCTGTAGCGTTATTGCTTCGTATTTGAGCGCCATAATTCCACTACGCCTGCGCCATGGAACTATTCGCTCGCTGAACCTTATGTAGTTGCTATTTTCCTAGCGATAGAGAACCACCTTGCTTCGAAGTTAAGATGGCGAAGACTCATCAAATAAATGGCATTAAGGCAAGCGCAAACAGTTTATGCTGCGAAATGCTTTCCCATCAGCATTGTCCGACAGTGTGAAAGTAAAGTCCAAAAATATTCATCATAACCATAGTTCATAACAGGGGTCGACGCAAGCATTTTTCATGACCTAAAATAAACCGCGATGAAGCCAAAGAATCTCATGTTGCACCCAGCTAAATGCGTCAATACATGATAACCGCATCGAAACTTTTGGGATGCATTACCATGGCAGTTTTCCCTGGAGCATATTTTTGTCAAATGCAAACCAATCTTGACCAAATTAACAACAAAGCAGTTAATGCCAATACGCTTTTGCCAGCGACGTCACAATTTGCTGTGCTTGTTACATGCAATATTGTGGTTTACACATTTGTTGAGCGTCTAGGACTCTAGGTCATACTGAGGTTTTGTACAATAATATTGAGCGTCTAGGGGACATATTGAGGGTTTGCAAGACATATATTGTGTGATTATTAAAAACTTGAAAATATATTGCGCAAACCAGAAGATATTGTGCCATCTAATGGTCACGTAAGAGTTTTCATGTGGCTAACAGCTGCGCCCTATTAATATAATCCACACTTCTAAATCTTTATAATAATAATAATTCACGCTTCTTAATCTTTTTATCTCTCTAATAATAATCCACGCTTCGCACTGAGATATACTAGTCATGGCTTAACAGATTATACAGCGCGATTACGATATGAAATAAAATGGCAATCCTCAAAGTTCAGTTTCCTGAAAAATCGTAAATCAACTGATCGATCAGCAGCAAGACAACGAATTTTAGCCATGTCGTTTCCAAATTATTCGTTGATCACGACAAACTCATTTCCGTAGGACAGTACACTAATTGCGCCTTTCTCATCGAATTCATAGCTACTTTGCTCGCACTCTAAACTGAGATTTAAAATAGAATAATGTATAGAGCAATTTCTGATTAGGCCATATTTTCCGCAAATTGGGATTGTTCTCGCTGGGACTCCGATAAAACCTCAGCAAAATGATATTGGCTTATCACCGATTCTTGGCCAACGGACACCTTGCCGATTTCGACTAAAATTATCACAACAAATGCGGTCTCGAACCTTCAATAGTGTTGATAGGAACCACTCGGCCACCTCGAGTTTTATGTCAGCTTAAAACAAAATGAAATTCCCCTATACAAACTTAGTTTGGAAACTGAATTTAAAAGAAACTTGCAACTTGCCGTTGTCAGGATAGTTTGATCAGAGGAGTGACAGACATTGAACATAAGCGAAAATAACGAAAGCTGCGTTCAGGATAAAGAAGATACAATATGGAGTGATTTTTTTAATCAACTTAATTCTTGTCACCTTAAACTCTGTAATAAATAAATTAGGCGATTACTTTTCTAAAAAAGCCTAAGGTATACAACTGACACTTCGCAGCTCATTTAGGCCAATTAACGTAGCTTGAATTCTCTCTGAACACGTTGACTCCGTAATAGTACATATGCGTACCACGAGGTATATTTCTCCAGGACATAGTGGTACATAATTCAATGTTGCCAGATGGCCTAAAAAGGGCCAAATCCGCGAACAAATGAGGCCAAAACGGCTATAACTCAATATATAAGTACTAGTATATATGTAGATTCGGGTGTAAAAATTGCATTTCTTCTTTTGTTGCAGTTTTAAAAATTCAGTTAGGAAGTACCCTTATCATAAATTTTAGCCAGCCAACGCAGTTTAAAAAAACTAAATCGCGGAATTTGTCCGGAAAAAAGACCGCCTGGCAACCCTGTTTCATAATAGAAAAAAAAATAGAATAATAGTACAAGATGAAGCAATCGGAGTCAACGTGTCGAATAAACTTTCCATCACTTGCATAATTGTGCTGTGGCCTCCAGTGACAAAATATACATTGCCAGCAAAGGCACACAATCATGCAGGCATGGCTACGTTGAAAAAGTCACTCAAATTAAAAAATGTCATTGCAATCTACATACCGTCAGTCATAAGTTAGAAAAAGTTTGGTTGTGCTGATCATGTGATGTGTTCATCAAACCAGTGGTGCTTCCTATCCAGTGATGCATAAACTAGCTTGAAAACTCATCACAAGATCACACTCAGCACAACCAAACTTCAGGCGGAACAATAAACGAAGTAAAATGTACCTGAAAAAGATGTTCAATGACAAAAATGTTGTGAGGCGATCGTAAGCTGTACCTTAGTGATTTCATAATATTAAATTCACAGGGGAAATAATAAGTCGACACTGTGTATTGTCTTTTTTAACGAAGAATTTTGTTTATTAATCTATAAACAATAATAAAAGCATGATTGAATGTAAATTCATGACCTGGATGAGGACGAATGTGAGCAATCATGAAGTTGAGAAACGAAATCATTTCGAACAAACAGGGAAAATAGAGAATGCAAAGTATACATTCGAAATTCACTATTCATTTCGAGCATTTAAAAAGCATGTCATATTGAAATCTGCGGAGGTAGACTTGATATCGAACATCCCGCACAAAATTAGAAAAAAAAAGATTATCTAATTTGGCTGATGTTTGTCAGAATGGCAACTCGTTACTTATATTTTTTTGTTGGAGTAATGTAGGGTTTGATTGCTATTTGCTACTTTCATATTTAACTCAGCCACATAAAACAACATTATTGCACAACCTACGGAGGTTCAATATGCCAACAATTTTCCAGCACAGCTAATTTGAACGAGTTTCGTCCGTCATGAATCGTAAATACGCACCTGATCACAATACTTACGAGGCTCTGATGAAGAGACGCAAGTCACTCCGGGTGGGAAGGAGCCCTACGGCCAGTCTCTACATAGGATAGAAAAAGTTGAGTTAGATTAGCAGCAATGAGTAGGATGCAAAATTTCTTATGAAGCCGTGGTCACAGATTGGCCACATAAAGATTTGTCTTCTAGCAATAAGTATGAATAGCATAATTATGAATATTAAGTGATATTAATCAATATATTTAAACCATGAACATTAATAGCAAATTATTCATTAGAGAACAAAAAACGCTTCAAGAATACGATTGTCATCAAAACTTAGTTCGTACTAAATTGTGAATAAGCGTCAACCGGAATTAGATTTCCATCCAAACAAATATTTCGTTAAAAAATAATACGTCTTTCCTTTAATTGAATTCAGATTGATGGCATATTAAAAAAGAAATAGTGACTAAATGTGTCAAGAATAGAGAAAGCAGATACATTTACAACCTTAATTGCAGCAGACAGAATTAGAGCATTTCAGTTCATTAGATGATGTCATCCCTTAATACCGCAGATTAAACAAAGTTTTAGAAAGTTCCATGCATAGTTTGAAAATTAATACATCACTGGGAGGAAATCGTATGTGATTCCTACGTTACGTACGTGGCAAATATAATAGAAAGTCTATTTAAATCACGTGATTAACAATACATGTAAGTTGCCCTTTCGAATTCACTTCTATCACTCACAGATGTGATGTATCACACTATCACTTGAGATTAGTTCGAACTATTTCGTCGACACAATAAGATGCGACGATACCGCATAGTTTGGGCGTATATGCATGGAATCTAACTATCACAAGCCTAAAGCCTTTCATGGGCAGTGCCCCGTAGTGAAATAATCAGTTTCCATTACCCGACGAAATCAGTAGATGAAGGTTGCATTATCTTGGGACAGTATGAGATTATTCCTAAAGATGATTCGTTACTTCTTTGAATCATTTATCTAAATACCACCACTCTTATTCGTGTTATTTAACACGAATAATATATAATATATATTATTATCCGTTTAATACACTAGTTCGAAATGTATTACTACTGGAAATAAAATAGCATTAATTCATAACCTATACTTTGCTTCACTCATCGGTAGCAGAGGAGCATATATCACGGTAAGCCCACACTAGAGGAGCGGATGGTGTTCGCCTGAGCTTATAGAATTCAAGTGTTACTTTCTTCATTCAATGAAGTGGGAATATAATGGTTTTAAAAACACTATCAGTACAACGAGTAGCTAGCTGTGCTAGTAAGTTATATTCGTGGGCTTTCTTGCCACAGTCAGAGAGCTCGAGCAGTGAATTCATTCAAGTAAGGCACGATCTGGTATCTTATATTAGAGGGCAAACTAAGAACAGATGGCACTTAAAAGAACGTCCAGAGATAAAAAACATAACGACTTCTTTAGAGAAAATAATTTAGCAGGATTGTTAGAGCCACTTACTGTATTCGTGATATTACTGAGCCACTGGTCCACTGGGCTGGAGTACAGCTTGCATCGCTGATCGTCATTATCATTCTTCTCTCTCAAGTCTGAACTCAAGAAGCTATCTACGACCTGAAGCATTCCTAATGAGGGGCCCTAAGGAGAGCTGTGCACACATTCCATTCTTCAGGACGTTTGCTTGTCAAAGAATTACTCATATTTTGGTCAGCGTTCTGCGTTGACAATAGTTTGGTTCACGTTGCTATCCAACTTTTGCTTGTCTCAATCATGCTATCTCTAATAGACAATTAGATTTCATATATCTCAGATCATCTATTAGTTCATCAATTCAAGCCACATAGACAATTAAATTTCATATTTCTCGGAGATGATCCACGAGTTCATCAATCCAAGCCAAACGAATATTCTTCGCGCAACTTCAAGCGCACTGGGTAATTTGCTGTACAAAGCACAATTGTCTTGATTATTGCAGTGCGTAATCAATGAAATTTTTGATTAATCAGAAAACGTTCTCGCAATCGGATTTCAATACATAGTTGAGGCAGTTAAACACCATTCCTAAACATTAACTATAATTAAAACCAGCAACGATAAGTATTATATACAGATTATTTCTGGAATCTAGTATGTGTTTTCATTCAAGTCACAGACCGTAGTTCTGCATTTGACATTCGTTGGGTTTTTCTTCCAGGAAGCCAGGCCCTTCAAAGTCTTCAAACAAAATTAGAATACACGATCACTAAATCATGTAATTACTTCAAGGTTAGTCTATGAGTGGTATTGATTGGGACTTCATTTTGTTTACATTTTATTTCTTGTACTTACAATAGTACGCTTACTAAATCTCGTTACATTGAAGCTAGAGGAGCGTTTGGGCCAGTGACTATCACCTACGAGAATAAATGGGCCTTAAATGCCCATGCTAACTATACTAGTCGACAACAAAAACATTAGACCGACATCAATTAGATAATCCTAATTCCATCCAAGTTTTATTCAGCTCTCATATGTGGCTCCAGTGGACTCAGTTTTTAGGTATGCTCGCAGGTGAATATAATTCAACAGCGCTTCAGCCTGGGCATTGCCGCTCTCCATCTGATACATTAGAGAGTTTAAATTCAACTCTAAAGATGATACGAGTGTTAGATTTGATGAGGGTCAGATAATTCATCATTCTTTAAACATTCGATATTCATAAGCCTATCACCTCGTAATTTTTGATGCACAATTTCAAGTCTAACCGACACCTCAATAATTGGCCACATCAAATAATGAGGAATATTCAAGTATAGTCTGAAGGTCCTTCAATTGTCGTAAAAATAATGGCATTAATTCTAATTGTCATCGATACAAAATTGGGCATTTCATACACATCATCCTTGCCTTAATTACATAATTTACATTTTCTTCAGTGCCATGCTTCATATCAGCATTGCTTCTAGAAGGATTTGTGGGAGCTCTCAATTCATGCTTCAGGCGGTCCAAGTACAGCAAGGTTCCTAATTCATAATGTACATGGTTAAATATTCATCAAATTCGATTTACATTTAATTGTTTCACATTGAATTGAAGTATTTCATAAGTTTGGCTGCTTCCTAACTTCATATTTGGCAGCTCGTGACGTGGGCTCACAGTACTATAAACTTTTCATTATTCAGAGGCGACTCTAACCCCTCTTCCTTTTCAACTGCTCAAGAGCTTCTCTTTCAAATATTATTGTAAAGTTCGAACGGACCTCAGTTATTTTGAGGAACTCTAATGAACCATATTCTCAATTTCTAAGAAAACTCTATTAAAAATGGCTCTCAACTTGCTAGTTCGTGCCTTACTTCAAGATAAAAAATAATGCTGGTTTTCGATTTCAGAATCAGGATCCTAAAAATGCTACTCATGATACATTTCTGTAACTCCACAATTCAGGTTGCATTCAATGCATTCGAGTATTTGTAGGCAAGAGCATAAGCAACAGATTGCTTTCATCGCAATATTTGCAGCAAGTCAAGTCCCATAGACTATTAACCTAGAAAAAACAGCCGACTAATGCTAGGCTACATAGAACCGAGACACTCTCTTATTCCTACGACGACGCAATTGAATCACAATAGACAATGTGACCGTAAGCAGCACCAGTAATTTGAAGTTCGTTTCTTACGCCTCGTTGTGAGCTACTACATCAAAACATTATTTGCGCGGGTCTAGAGTAATCAAAATACCCACATTAAAAACGAACAAGACGCAAGGCTTGGTAAATTTTCATCATCGACTCATCATCTTTAAATTGATAAAAGAATCCAATTCTCATTCTAATTGTATTTCATATCTTTATTTTTGTTCGGTGATGAATGAAGAATAAGGACCTTTACATTCGCTGTTGCGTTGGCGTTGTAATACTTCAGCGTGTAAACTAGGCTTAAAAATGTCTAGCAACCGGTTTATATATTAAGTATTATAATTAAAATTTAAATAACAAAGTTTTTGTTCGAATTGTGAATAGATTTAATTAAAAGCAAGCTTGGCGCCTGGTTCGTGAGAAATGACAGTAGGAGACAGAAAGCAAGGTAAGTACAAGAGCATCATTGTTACCGTGGTGGAGTCGGCAGGTAGGGGGAGTCTAATATCCCCCACCACCATAACTGCTGGAGCTGTTGTAGCTACGTTCGTAGCCACCACCACCACCATAGCCACCAGCTCCACCACCTCCAGTGCTACTGTAGCCTCCACCACCACCACCGCTTCCACTGTAGCCATTGTAGCTGGATCCTGCTGTAAAACCAAATTCAAAACACTGAACAATATTAACAATCTAAGAATTTAAATCATCAAAATTAAAAATTTCGCATGGAATTTTTAATTTTGAATTTCGAAAGGAAGGAATCCAAGCAAATTTACCATATCGATATTGAAAACGTTTCGGAGTCCAGCTCCATCATCATCGTCTTAGTGGAGCTGGACTCCGAAACATTTTCAGTATCGTTATGGTGAATTTGCTTGGCGTTTTCTTTGCTTTTAAATTCCTTGTGAACTTGCGATATAAGCAGACTGATAATTAAAAATAATAATATAAGTACCAAAATTAAAAACAAACTTCACTTGATGATTTAAGAACTGCATTGGATTCACAGAGAAAAAAAAAACAGATCAATGAAGGTGACAAAATTGTCACCGATCTTATAAGAATGCCGGTGGGAGCCTAGAGTGAACTTCTCACCCGACTTGTAGGAGTCGTAGCCGCCAGCGCTGGGAGCGGCAGGCAGCGCGTAGTCTGCTCCCCTGCTGCTGCTGCTGTAGCCACCCTCGTAGCCACTGGACGAGTAACCGCCATTGCTACCGCCGCCCTCGCTATAACACATTTGCAAAACATCAATTTTTATGATATAAATCTTTATCCTCACGATTGCGTTACTTCAACATAGATAAATCGATTAAATTTTCATCAATGTAGATTGAGCTGTCACACTAAATCGTGTTTGACAGACACGTTTTGGCGCTAACATTAATAATACATAACGTACAGCAGTACTGGGAAGGATAAGATTATGTAGCTAGTACCGTAATTGCTCAACATATCACACTTCACCAACTGCGGCTTCACGAAATATTAACGAGAAAAATCATTCGCGGATTATCGCTGGTGCACGCGGTTATCTGAGAAAGTCGATCGACAGGTTTCTAAAAAATATACCTAAAATAGTAGGAAAATCTAAATATTAAAAACCATAATTCGGTTTATTTATACATATATATACTACTTAAAACATTGAAACCAAACAATTAATGTTTAAATACTCTAATAAATACTATCAATCGATGAAATTCACATCATAAAAATCACCTATTGCGACCAGATCTACAACGTAACGCCAGCGATGGGTGAAGGATTACTTTACTGTCATGATATTCACTGATATCACATCAGCAGCATCATACTACTCAACGACTTCATCATATAATATGATGTTTTCAATCTTGGTAGGTGGGCAGAGCATGAACTAACCTAGCATAGTAGTCGCTTTCAATTCTGGCTCTTTTGACTGGAGGTCCACCATACGAGCCTCGAGTCGCACTGAAACTGAATAAGAGTGAAATTTTTAAAATGATATAATAGAATGTTATAGCTGTAGTTTAAACATCATGTATAATAACTGTTAATGACAAAATGTTTCAAACAATAAAAGCACACTAAGGAACAAGGCACTCTATCGCAAGTAAACTTCAAGTCAAAAATTTCAAATGGCAACTAAGCCCGAGATAAGAAGAAATTTCACAATGATGTCACTGACATCCAACAAACTTATTCCATTATTGCTCAAGATTTAGCTTCGCCATTCTTATGAAATGTTCACAAATAAAGATAGAAATCTATCGTAAAAAAAGCTAATAACTTTTACACACCCAACTTCTTACCCCCGTTTCTGAAAGCCGCCACCGCTGCCACCTTCGTATGATGACTGGCCACGAGGAGCTCCGCGTCCTCTGAAGCCTCCTTCAAAGGATCCGCGGCTCCTGAATGGTCTTTCATAACCACCCCTGCCCCTGAAGCCTGATGATTCATATGATCCAGTGCCACGTCCTCTGTAGGGCGCGTCCCCTCCACGCCCTCTGAACCCTCCTCCGGCAGCTCCTCGCTCAGATATACCTTGGCCTCGGTAGCTGCTGAAGCCTCTGTCGAAACTTCCTCCACTGCCACGGCCACCACGCTCGTGACTGCCGCGTTCAAATCCTCTGCTACTGCCACTGTCAAATCCTCGGCTACTGCCGCGGTCAAATCCTCGACTACTGCCGCGATCATAACCTCGACTACTGCCACGGTCAAATCCCCTGCTACTGCCGCGATCAAATCCCCTGCTACTGCCACGGTCATATCCTCGACTACTGCCACGGTCGAATCCCCTGCTACTGCCACGGAAACCTCGGTAACTTTCTGAAGTTCCTCTGTAGCTTTCAGAACTTCCCCTGAATCCTCTTCCCCTGAAGCCACCACGGCTCACACCCATACCACGATATCCCCCAGCACCAAAGCTGCCCCGCGGTCTGAAGCCTCCTCTGCCTCTGAATCCACCACGTCCTCTAGGAGCTCCCTCCCCAGTTGAATCGTCTTGATGATCATCAATATTGTCGTCTGACATTTTTCTGCCGAAATAGAAAATAAGGAAGAAATTATAGAAAATTGAAGATCGCTTCATAATGTGAAAACTTATTTCCAGATAGCATTATGATTTTATTGCTTTTAGGCAACTTTTACAAGTGTTTTTGGCCATTGCCCATCACTAGGTATAGATGGAAGGTGTTAGCTGTAATTACACCCTTGAACAAGTTTGCCACACATTACTTTTGGAAATACAGTATGAAGGAAAATTACTTGGGAGTATAAAAAAATCAGGGGTTGGTCAATCTTCGTGAAAAGGCTTCAGAAATGAATTTATTATCTACTAATTGTATCTTTTTAGTCAGCCTTGTCAAATATGGATTATAAGTTGAGAGTTGGTTATCTTTTCAAGCTTTCTAGATGCTGTCTTCACCATAAAGAATGTGTACCCACTCAGGGGAAAAGCAGGCTGGCAAGCTTCTTAGTATCTGTATTGATAAGAGCAGTTGACTAATAGTGTGGCTTTATAAGTGTCTTGTCATGACCATTCCTTGTTGGTCACACAATTACTTACTCTTTGTCTAGTATTTGAGTCATTGTAGAAGTACCAGAGCATTGATTGATGCTGATAGTGTTAAGATCCTGTTATTATTAGACAAGGCAAACTCAAACTTAATGGTCATTATTCATTGTTTGTCTTAGCAGCTTCCTGCAGAGCAAGCTACTGTACAAATTTTAGCTAAATTAAATTGGGGTCAATTCACAAGGAAGTACGGTTCTGAAAAACTTGATAACAACTCATCTTAATTTCAGTGACTCTTCAATAAGCAGTTACTTCTAAATTGACTGTAAGATCACCTTTGGACCAAGTTCTCCAAATTGTTATTAAATAAATTGTAAGTCTTCTACTATATGCAGCACTTTGGAAAGGATCCAAAGGATGGAACTAAAAACACTGAGTACCTTCTTCACTAAAGGGTTATAGACCATATATGTATACATGATTTGTATTGATTGCACAAGAAGACTGCTTTTAGTTCAAACTTTATTGCAACATATTTGTAGGAATTGAAACTACTCACAATGAGATAATTCTCAGATAAATTACAGAGATCATAGATGCAATTTCATACATGCAACACAATTATCTTGACACATGGAATATATCACACAATAAATGCTTTACAAAGCACAATTTGTTTTAGGTAAGGAGGAACAAAAATTTCCCACAAAGCATGGAAATTTTCCTCTAGTCATGAAATTTAATTCAAACATAAACAAAGCACTGCATGACAATGGTGTTCTAAAAAGTAGGCCAAAAATATATTTATAAAAAGATTTCTAAGAAACAGGATAAAAAGAGTAATTCAAATGGACCATATAAAAATGAATGGATTTCACTTTCCATTGTTACAGATTGTTGTTTTTAGTCATAGTATGATTATAAGAAACTTTAAAACTTGGTATCAGCTAAATGATGGTTTTGATTGCAGTCATGAGCATTTTCAGTAAGTGATCATAGTGATGGCATCAGACTTTGGTAGGATTTCTTATAACAGCAAGGACCAAATACTCCAGACACTGCAATCAACCATTTCAACAACTATTTGACAAAGTACACCTAACTTGCATTGTCTAGGTTATGGTAGGTTCTAAGCAGCATTTTATATAAATGTGTAGACTATTATTTTTGATAGTCACTGTGTCAACAAGAAATACATGGTGCAGTTAGAAACATTGGAGCCTGCCGAATGCACATTGCATGTTCAATTGCAGGTACTAGAAATGTTTTAATAGTCAATGTTCCTTTTAGATTTCTGTGAGAAATTCTTTTACATAATTTTTTTATTTAAAAACTCTCCCATACTGAAAAATTACATGAATTGATAATGGTCAATTTGACATATATTTATTAATTAGGGTTGTTATTCATGTCAAACATCAACAAGCTGAATCTGTGCAGACTGCTGCATGGCTTCAAACTAAAGACTAACAAGCTGTTTGCCAACTTTTGTTCTCCATAAACTGTGTGGTCAATTGACTCAAAATATTTGTCAGAAAAATTATTGGAAAACCTATATATATATATATATATATATTTAAACACGAGTGGTTAATGATCAGAGAAATCAGTGATTTAAATTTTCAGGATTGAACAATATTCTTCAGTGGACGTTGGTTGATAAAAATTCAGGTTCAAGGAAGTAATTTAATTTATTAACGACGTTTCAAATGTGACATCATTCATTTTCAAGTTATAGGAAGCATTGAATACTGAAATTTTGGCGGAAATAAGTACATGTACACGTAAATATGATACAACACAAAAATTTGGAACCGCGAAAATAATTCTGAAACAATCTCAAAGTTCAGAAAATCCGGTAGTTATGAGATGAGTAGCTGGAGTCCAATCTGTAGAGGGCATAGAGTAGAGTAGCGTAGAGATGAGGGCATGAGATGAAGTTGCTCGATGGCAAGACTTTGAGACCTGGTCTGGTTGCGAAATTGTCTCAACCAGACCAGGTCTCAATGTCTTACCATCGAGCAACTTCATCTCGTGATCCATGATGAATTCAACAGGCTTCCTGACACCCTAAAAATTTTGAGTTTTTGACCCATATAAAAACAACTCAGGTGCAATAGTCTACCTACACAATATCTTAATGCATGACTCTGAAAATTAAATATATAGAAAGGAAAGTTCACAAGTTTTTTTTGTTAACTTTCTTCAAATTAAGTGATTTTTTTTCTCAAAAATTTGCCCATCATATGAACAAAACTGAACAACAACTTTATAGTATAATCAAAACTACTTTGCAATTATTATTATTATGTGCTATTGTGGTAATCAAAACAAAAAAATTGTAGTTCTGATCACTCACTAATATGTAAAACATTACTGTCCAAGCCCCAACTGGATATTAGAACCCATGAATTCATCAATTTTTAACCACGACTAGACTTTCCAAGTTGTAGAAAGCTATTTTTACAGTTACTGCAATCTCATTTGCCAAGCTAGGCACTCATATGAGGCCAAATTTTTTATTTACCCTAAAAGTTGCAACCAAAATACTTTTCTTCAATTTAGAGGCAATTAGGTGTGTCAAAACCTTTTTTCTTGTTCTTCACATACATCCTCTTAAGACTAAATTTCACCTGCTCCTTTGTGTGGACCTTGCCTGCTTTTTCTCTATGTATAAGAATTAACACCATTTGTTGCCTGCAATTTTAAAAATCAGCAGTGAAATTTTTTTAACCACAATTTTCATAGAAATTAGCCCAATATTCCAGATTGACCAACTGACCTGACATGAACTATGAGATCAGTGAAATGTGAAATGTTTTGGATGCAGTCACTGTGCATTATACAAGTATCTAAGGTATGTGCACAAACCACACACAGATCACAACAATGCTGCCAAAAAAAGCAGAGAGGCAGTTTTCGCTTCAATGCGCGAGGCATTTAATTTAGAAGTCAAACCTAACTGGCAGCTCAATTTGAATGACATGTGTTTGGAAAAAAACTTGAACTATGAGACCATATTTTTTTTTGAGAAATTTCTATTGTCTACTTGCTTGGCTGCAATTCACAATGGGTACCACTTTGTGCTAAAAATAAACCTTGATGTTGTATAGCGAGGTTAATGACAGATAACATAAAAGCAAGATTACAGTTTTTAGAGCATGCTCTTTAAATTTCAGAGCTCTGCAACTAGTTGCAGTGATTTCTAGAAGTCACAAAAAATGTGATTTTTGAGTCCAATGCCTGTGGCACATGCAGATGGCAATGGCCATCTGCCATTGCCATTTTCTGCCATCTGCCATTTTAGGTTAGGTTAGGTTACGTATCATGTATTTATCATTTATTCATCATTCATATATCATGTATTTATCATTCATATATCATGTATTTATCATTCATTTCAATCATTTATCATTGACTTATCATTCATTTAGCATTAATTACTTATTTACAATTTTTTCATCATTTATCTATCTAATTTTTTCATCAATTTATTCCGTTCAATTCTGCCTCATGGTGAATGTATACCATTCATATCTTTTGGTCATACACATTTTCCCCACCCACCTGCAGTCAAAGTCTCAACTAAAATGTTTTATTTTAGTTAGAATTAGAACAGATAGCCTACAGCCACAGGCTCCAACAAGAGCTTTCTAATGGTGCCAAAATTTTTCAAATCGGCTCATAAGAGAAATAATAGTTTTTCCTTAAAAAAGTGTCAAAAAATTATCTATTTTTGAGATGTAATTTAATAAAGGAACAAATAATAATAAAGGACAAATGACCAGGGGCCGTGTTATCAAAACTTTGTAAGTACGCAAAATTGACTTGCGTATGGCGTTACGCGTTAGTGCTGATATGATGATGTAACTCTAGCGGTGGTATTATCAAAACATTTGCACGGGAAGCTATGTACAAGAAGCCGTACATAGCTCTACGCCTGCTCGGAGGTGTTGTAAGTAGAGTTATGTACAAGTTTTGAGTGTGCCAAAGCAATATAAAACTATTGATTTACTTGGACTCTTGGAACATGGTGAATTGTGATAAAATTTTGTCAAAATTCAACATAGGCATAATATGTGATCATGCTTAATGGTGCTTTTGGGATATAAATGCCAATTGCCTTTTGTGCTATAATTTACAAGCAAATGTTGATATTCATATCAAAGAGTTTTATGATCATTCACTTGAACAATATCTTAATGCCTTTTTGATTCAAAATTATATTGAGGTTGACAAGCCAACCATTTCTCTAGTTCTCTGTAAACAAATTTATTTCTTTTTATGACAGTTGCAAGTTGCAACTCCAACTCACAAAATTCTTTGTACTAACCTTCTAATAAATTCTACTAATTTTGAATAGGAATAATGCATTTATTTGCCCTTATTGTAAGAAATTTCCATTAACAATCACAACAACAAGTGCATTACTATTTGGATAACATCTTGCTCATTTATCCAAATATACCCTAGTCAGGCATTGCAAATGCTGCTGCCACCACACATCCTGCCAAAGTGCCAAGGAAGCAAAGGAACAGCAAATCCAAAGTCTCTGATTGGTCAGCTAGCCAGAGCCTCAGAGGGTTTTGATAATACGCTTTAGCCAACTAAGCTAAGTCTTGCATATGAAAGTTTTGAATTTTGATAATGCCAAAATTAGGGTGTACTTACAAAGCACATAACTTTTTTGTCATAAAAACAAAAAGTTACCAAGTTTTGATAATCTGGCCCCAGTAACAAATGTATGATTTTCATCAACAAGACAAGTCATGTGCAGGAGTGCAGCATCTGTTAAATTGCCAAAAGGCTAATTTAAAGTTATGTGTTGGACTGTGTCTGTTGGAGTGTTGGTGAGTGCTGACAGTACAGTCAGTACCTAGGTAGTTTAGGACTTTAGGCTACCATAAGCAACTAGCATTTTCAATATATATTTCTATAATCCATTAACCATTCTTTCCATTTTTGGAATTTAGGTTGTCAGTGTCTACCTCTCCTTTTACCAAGGCGATAGGCTACAACCTACAAACAACACAAACATAAATAAATATTTTTATTTAGATATACAAAGAAGAAAAACAGAAATAAACCTTCAATTACAATAAATTAAAAGCACAAGTTGACTTATTCACCCCCTTCCCCTAGAATTACATAAAAATAATTTAAATACACCAATTCGTGTACAAACTGCGCATCTTTGTACCAGCGACCTGTGAATGAAGCAGGCGCGCGGTCGGGCGGTCGGGTCAGCATGCGCCATCAGCCATGCAACGTATTCAGTATTCTAATCCGTCAATTACAACTTAAGAGAAATACCTCCCTTACATATTAATTTCTCGGTATAAGTAAAACGTTCTAACCAGAAATTAATTGGTTATATTACAACTAGTTAAGTTAGACTGGCAATCGCAAGCCGCAGCGTGCCTACCTTGAAATTGATGTTCAATGGCGGCGTGTTTCACTACAAAAAGAGATATACAAGATAAATATGCTCCAGTCTAATACACTCGATCGAAATAATATTTGTTAGCCTCATTTAAAAGACCGCTATCTATATATTACATACCTTTATTAGTGTGATGCGGTTACTGGCAATATTTTAGTTTAAACGCAGGCCCGAGACAATTTCACTACGCGATCGATCAGCGACGCCGACTCACAACCATGCTTTGAGCCTGCGGCAAGGTTGCCAGATTGAGCCAAGAGAAAAAGGCCAATATAGCTCACAAAAATGGCCACTAAAGGCTCCATTTAAAATTAATAATAAATTTTAAATTTAAGGTATTTCTAACCCTTTGAAGTGCATGCATTTACTCTCAAGACTCCCAGACAGCAAAAAATAGATCAATTTCACCAAGGGCAAGTGTACGAGCTGAATTACCGTCAATGCTACATAAGCTGCCAGCCTGCTGAGCGAATTGCACGTTACTCGATGATCGTAAATAAAACCGTATAATACAGGTCTGAAACTCTGAACTATGTTATTTGGGATTCCATTGCCACCCAACAACTATAAAGCTTTTCGATCGCACTAGGGAGTTTTGGCTCAGTTTTGTTAACAAAATAGAAGTGAAATGGCGGCGACATAAGTGATATGGCGAAGTTTTGGTATTGACGGTAGAATATTTATAAGCGAAAATGAAAATAAATGTGAACTCATTTCTGCGCTATAAAGATGATGTGGTCCTTGCAAGACTGTGATGTGGCGAATTTTTTGGTATCGACCGTAGAATATATAGGTATACACGTAAAGGAATATAAATTTAAACTCATTTCTGCGGTATAAAGATGATGTGTTCCTTGCAATACTAAGTTAAATAATAATTGTCAATCCTATAAATTTATCACAATTTCTGAATGCGTAGAAAAAAATATTGCCTATAATAATTCGAAGAGGAGTAGTAATTGTATTTATAAACTTTAAGTGAAATTTGGTAGTGACACATCAGAAGGCTGAATCAGCCTGAATGAATGGAGAAACATCGCTTTAACCTCGAAAATTAGCTCTGAATTTACTTATCTTTAGAAGTGAAAACTAGACTCGATTATACGCGCTCTCAGCTCTGCCATCCATGCCCCATGGTTATGAATATGGATCTGCAACCCAACCGGATATAGTCCTATGGTTCAAGCTAAGTGTAATGCCCGCTGCCCGGATTAGGAGGCACTTGCCAGTGTTGCCACCTAAACCGAAGTGTTGACACAATTACGTGTCGAAATTTGAGTGTACTCGTCCTGGGCAAAACTAAATTTGAGTGTATTGACTACTCGTCTTGGACAAGAGTGAAGGACCAAATTATTACCGAAAAACGCTAAGAATTACATTTTTCACAAAAAAGGTCCCAAACAGACAAAATGGCCAAGTTAATTTTGTCAGGCCAATGCATTTTAAAAAAGGCCACATTTGCGAAATATGGCCTGACAAAGGTCCATCTGGCAACACTGGCCTACAGTAAGGACAGAGGAGCTTGGAACTTAGAGCTTAGATTTTAGAAGACCTAATTCACTTTTTTTGTCGAGCCTTGGGCCTCAAGAAGAAAATAAGGAAACGGACATTGACAAGATTTGTTAGAACACTTTCGGGTACAGCCAGAAATTTAACACAATTATCCAGATTTCCAGATCACAATTATCCAGATGCTTAAGCTTACACTTCTCTATTTACTTGATTTTTTGAGTCCAATGTGAATTAGGGATCTTTACATTTTTAAAGATATATGTTTAATTCATTTAAGATAAAATAATGCCCTTTTATACGATTAAACTACCGGCTAGGAGGCCAAGTAGTTTAAGTGTGACCAGGATTGGAGGCTGCAGCATTTTCGCAAGTTGTGGGTTCGATCCCAACTTCCAGTTACAGTCTGGTCGACACCGCTGAAGTGGCCGGTTGGTTGAGAACATGGTTGAATTATTCGAACATGGGTTGAGAACACCAATATTGGAGCGGTGAGTTTCGGGTTCAAGGCCCAGCAAACTGCAAGAATTCTACGATTTCAAGAATCATCGTCATGCCACATTTGGCCTAATGAATGCTGACTCCACTAATACATATATATAATCGCTTCCTCGTCAGTGCATGCGTAGAGCAGCATTAAAAAAATAAATGTTGCGCACTCATACCCTAAGCTAATTCTGAAGTACTCTCGATTAATGATCTTGTTTCATTTTTTCAATTTTTTTATTCTAAACTTCTTCCAGTGATATATTTGAATTCTTTTAGTTTGGGACAAATTTGCGTCGGCTTTCGTGGTACCGGTATATTAAAATGTCAATTACATCTCAGGACAATTGAATTGTACATTATAAGTATGCTTTGAGTATATAATATTGGTAATACGACTTCTGAAAATCTTACTTCTAATTTTTATGTGTCAATCAAATTGCAAAATTTTGTACAAGGAAAAAAAATTAATTGTGATCTCTTTAGTTTGAACTAATTTGAGCGAGATGTACTAATAAGTATCATTTCAAAATATAAAACCCTCTATCATCTTGTTATATGAATATAACGTTCGAAGTTTCTTATACTTTATAATTTTGTGAATGTTTGGGTCGGAGCTGGAGGCCCACACTGCTCAAGCCCATACTTTCTCGCATAACATATTTCAACAATGGGATAGATTATAACAATTCTTGCCCAACCCGTCAGGCGGCGGAGAATATAATTATTCACTTAATTCGATCAACCGATTCTCGACCTAACATGCCGGTTATCTTTTTAGCAAAGCATCGTGGCATACGGTACGTGTGAAATAATCTCACACCTGGGTTCCACTTGCCAGAATGCGTTAGGACTTTCTAAAATTTAAAATATATATTTGCTCCACCAAGCCACCAGTTTCGATCCAAACTGGTGGCTCCACCACTTGGTGGCTTCGATCCGAACAACGAACCTGCAGAAATTAAATGGCTGAGCATCAAACTGAATAACACGAAGATAGCAACTTTACAGCCCAGTTGTTTGCTATATTATCCCATATATAAAGTATAGTCCCGGCGTGCGATGATTGCTCGAATGAAACTTAAAATTCCAGTCAGCTTAATGGGAAACCTTTCAGATTGGTCTGGGAACCCAAATTTAAAAAAAAAAACCAATTAAGGATTCTATTGCCTAGTAGTGGGTATTCAGATTATCAAATTTTGTAATTCAGTTGTTGTCAGGGCCAAATTTCGCTTGGCAAACACACCTACTGAGATTACACTCGTCGTCAATTTTCCCAAGATACAAACCAAAGACCGTAAGAGGAGAACCACGAGCAGAGTAACCGCAGTCAGCTACATTATTAAGTACGGGTTCTTCATTTGAAAGTTCCAAGGTTTTCCTGTCCAGCTTTGTGCCGTCATCCCACATTGGGTCTTCTGATGCATTCTTCTTTGACAGGCCGATGAAAACTTGTGAATCTGTTACAAATAAAATATATTAGAATCAATGACACACTTTTTTATTGTTATTTAATATTATTATTATTATTTTTAAGATGAGGTGATCCAGAAACCTTTGTTCCAATCATCGATAAAAATCGATGTACCAATTCCAAGACGCAGCGATTCAAATCCTGGAAATGGCCTGGCAAGTGCGATTTGTTCATTTAATGCACGTGAGAAAATATTATGCATGAAATGTAGGATTATTATTGTTGTTCATGTATTTACTTGAACAACGAAGTATCTTCTAAACATGAACTAGTGCAAAACGTATCAGGGGTTTATTTGTTGTGGTAGTTTCTGTATTTCGGCGTCAAGTCAGATCTCATGAAGTGGAGAGGAAATAATTAGATATAATTTCAACGCACTGCATGGATGTATAAGTTTGATTATGCACGAGGCTATCTAGCCATATCTCATTGACAACCAGATTAGGAGAATATTTGGGAAGCATTTTACAGATATGAATCTGTATGGCTGCAAATTAATTAGTGATTATAGAAATAAGCTGGAAGAGTTTTTAATATTCATATATTATAGAAGAGTAACATGGAGCAGCGGGCCACCCCATTTTTTTAAATTAAATTTTTTATGAAGTCTTAAATGATACGAGGTGGTTCTTTGTTTTGTTTATAGGTACAACTAACGAGGAATATACAATGTGAATTAGACGCCTATAGAGTTATTAAATTTTTAATGAAACACTATTTTGTAAAAAGTGTCAAAATGGGCCCATTGCCCCACCCCTGGGGCAAAGGGCCCATGGGCTTGGGGCAAGGCGCCCACCCTTGGTCCCTTTACCACAATTGCATATTTTTCGTTTAAAAATGATAAAACAACACTTTACAGTTAAAAATAAGAAAAATGTAATAAGAAATATGCCATTTATTCATTTATAAACAACTTAAAAAATCATATCCTTAACTTGAAAAAAACATACTCTTGGCTTAAAAAATCCATCACTGACGTGAAGAAAAATATTTCATTGACATAAAAATATACATCATTGACTTGAAAAATATATCCTTGAATCTCGAGTTTTGGCGATGGGAAGATGAAAGCCGGTCATGTTGGAGCACATTTGTACACAATGATCCCTCGACATCATGCCCACATCCATCATGACGTAGAACAGCCCATCGAGACCCGGCACCAGCGAATGGACTGTTCACGTGGAGATAATTTATTAAAATAGTAATATAAAATCTCAGTACACAACCTCCCCATTTCCCAGAAATAGAGACCAAATAATATCATTAATAATTTGTTGATAATTATGCGTGAAACCTTGCCTTACGGGAAAAGATATTCCATTATAATAACTTATGGTTTTCGGTAAGTAAAATTTACAGCCTTAGTTTGTCAATCCATCGGCTCGTTCGTCAATGTCACCGGCTAAAAGCTAAGCTTTTGATTGTACATATTATTGATTACAATTAAATTACATTATGGAAATTATGCTTCAATTCGATGATATTTGAACCGTCTTCCGCTAAACAGGTCTTTAACATGGACTCGAAAATTATTAAGAGAAAACTTATGTTAAATAGTAAATCAGAGCAGAGAAATGAGAATAAATATTTTTTAATTCACCTTCATATTCGTAGACGGCACCCGTGAGGTTGATGTTGGGGGTGGGTTGACTGCTGCGGTAGCACAGCCCCAGCCCAGGGTGGTACGACAGCGCCCTGCACCGCGGGTCTACAAAGCACTGCTGCCGACACTGGCCTGCAGAAAGATCCGGCTTACCCAACACGAGTTTGAAGAGCTTAAATTCACCACACACATTTAGTAGATATTAGTTCACCACACACATTTTGTGTTAAAACTGTAGGATTTGTTACGTGAGCCAGGAAATTTTAAATATTCGGGCGATCTTAGAAGAACCATTTGAAATGTGACAATAGAATTGTAACGAGTTGTAACAGAAGAATCGAAATCGTGGAAACAATGTTTGCATGACCTGAAAATTTTTAGAATAAACAAATTCGGAAAATTTACCTTGTAACAATTTCTGTTACACAACCTCTATTGACAGAACTTGCCAAGCAATTTACTCATAGTTCGAAACTAAACTTAGGTTTCCATCATCCCTTAAATGCTCGTAAATAAGTAAAAATGTAAGCGGATATTTTATATAGCATGAAAACTTGGATACAAAGATCAGTACTGCTGCGCAGTTTGTACAAACAGTCACAGATAGAGACAATTGCCGCTGCTTTTCTCACAGCCGTGTTCAGTAAAAATATAACCCAGCACTTACAGAGGCTATAGGCCGGCAGGCTGTCGTAGGCTTCGCCACTCGTCATGAGGCTTTTTGTTACATGAAATTAAATCCCTTAACTTATTAGGATTCTCAAATACCCACTACCTTGAGCTAAAAATTCACAGAATTTCACAAAAAAAGTTTTAGTTTAGTTTTTTATATCTACTTTTAACGATATCCTATATTATTTTATTACAAATTCCAAGTCTTTAAAAGAATTGTTCTACATTTCTAAGCGTCTCCTTGTCCCTCTACTCAGGAGCTTTGTTCGTGTACTTATGAGTAATACATTTGATATTCTTCAGCTTTTACATCCGATGGATCGATCAAGTCCAATTTCAAGAAATGGTTTCCAATTGAGGTTAGATTTGTACAGCTTCATTATTAACGTAGCGCCATCTCTTCTGCAGATCGAAGCTGCTGAACCTGAAACAACATTAACGCATATCCGAGCCTGTATTTGACTGAGACATACATGTACATAGTTGACGGGCAGCTTTGTATCATTAGTTTCACGCTGCTTATGACTGACGATCGTCTGGATCGAACCACAACACGACAGCCAATAAAAGCCAGATTACAAGCAAAAGTCATTTGTTCTATAATCATATAAAAAAACGGAACGGGATACTTTTCAGGTCTACATTCAAACCGGTTCAAGTTTGAACGTTGGGGTAAAATACAAAGCGTGACCATGCAATGAATAGTTGGCACAAAGGTTGTTAGGTTTCAACCTATAGCTTAGTTTATTGTTTTCGTTGTTGCATCCTCGTCCACTGGCATACAGGCCCGAGGCTGTGGATGCATCAAAAGCTCTAGTTTAATTCACTCTATAGTATAGTACTAACTATAGTTATGGTAACAAGCTATAGTTATCGTAATATATTTCAAGTTGTGGTCATAAGTTATAAAAGCAATCTTATATAACTTGTAATTTTATAAACAATCGTAATTAGTTTCGGGTGGATGCAAGGTTCTTTTAAGATTACTAGGCAAGCAGCGAATATTACTACTAAAAAAAGCAGTAAGGTTACTACTAGCGAATATTCATGGTTAAACTTGAAAAAGATAGTTATAAAATACTTGAATACTCGTGAACCAGTCACAACCGTGACTGGTAAGGCCGACTTCAAGAACACAAATGAAGACAAAGCGCGACCTGCAGAGGTCGGCTACGCTGTTGTTTGAGGTCACGTCTCATAAACAACATAGGTTGCATGGTTTCAGACAGATACAATTTTAGCTTAATTTGGCAGCAAGTTTTGTTTATGGTGGCTTTTTTAGTTTATGGCTCTTTCGTGACCTGTTTTATATGACAACAACTCGTACGAATAGCACGATATTAGGAGAGAAACACACTGACTTTGATTCCACAATAGTCACATCCAAGATGATAGCAGGTATTATATAAATATATGACCGAGCCCGAATGGTCGGTCTATCATGATTTCATCGATTATGTTTCAGGCATTTATAGTAAATTTTGCAGCCGCCAGCTTTAAGGATAGTTATTTAACGTGAAAATGCAAGTGTTCGCTTTGTCAGAATCATGGGCAGGGTGGCCCAGTGGTTAAAGGGCAGGGTGGCCCAGTGGTTAAAGTTCAGAGTACCAGGATTGGCGCAGAGAGGCGCGGGTTCGATCCCAGCTCTGTGCGTCCGTTTCTGGTCAGAATCGGCGAGGAGGCCGGGCGGTTAAGCACAGCAGAAATGCAGCAGTGAGTTGCGCATTCAAGCCCGCAACAAGCTGTGACAGTTCTGCAATGATAAGAATCGGCGACAGGCCTACGGCCTAATAAACGCTGAAGCCGCTATTATTATTATTATGAGCCAGGAAAGTTGTTCATATTGTTATTTTTTCTATCCGTGAGCCCGGAATAATTTATTTATGAAAAATGCAAGTTGTTACCTATAGAGAATGTTGTTGTTTGGTGCCAAACTCAAGCATCAAGGATTTTCTACGAACAAAGTGCAGCTCTCAACAAACATGGCGACCTATTCGAAGGCATTAAGTTAATTGAGGTAGTAAATCACGCTGCACGGTGCTCATTTATGACACACAATATGACACTTTATATTTGATTAATTGAATCAATTATTGGGCATCCAACCTGCTGAAGTTAATTAATAAAAAGACGATCTTTCGGGAGCCATATGTCAGATGATCGACCAAAGCAGACATATTGACTTGCAATGCAAAAATACATAGCGATGAGTCCATCAGCTTTATTTCAGTAAATAAGCGACCTACAAACATTGATTGCTTCACGTTCCTAATATAACTCATGCTGTGAACCTGACGATCATCTCAATCAAAGTCGAGTGAATTATTGACAGAAATTTCAGGGCAAAGTTTTATATCCTGAACTCACAATCAAGAAAATAGACATTTGAACAGTGAATGATGAGCGTACGCTTGCGTTAATCCTACATTCGGCACAATCTTACTTGAACTCGATATCAATCAGTCAAATTACATATGCAAATCCTTAATTTTTTAAATGGACATACTTTACTTATCGTCCGAGTTTTTACATTCTTAGAACAAACATTCGTGCAAAATTAATTCAAAATTTTTAATAAAGCAGTCCTTTGTGATTATTTTTTCCACAATTGAAAAACAATGCTATATTTTTAAATAAATTAATGCTTATTCAGTTTTATCGTTGCTTGTAAACAAAAGATTTATGTTTTTACTCAGAATTCACAAGTAATGAAGATAAAATCTATTTTACTTCATTAGTAATCGCTGGCAAAGAATTTCATTCTGAATTCCCACATCATTGTTAATGATTTTCATACGAAATAAACAAAGCTGGAGGTATTATTATAATTGTCATTAGAAATTTTTTGCTTTCATGGTGAAATTCCGGTGACTTTATTGTTATGTACGTAGTTATTTGTTACCAGTCAACATCCAATCCGTTTTAGTGTTATTTACTTACTTATCATTATTATTAAACTTATATCTTGAGTTTGGTGGATACCCAACTTCATTTGGGAAATTTATGCTTTAATGTACAGTAAGGACTAAAGAAACATATGAGAAATTAATGTAATCTCGGCGCAGATGTAATATTAACATATTTCACGGGTTTGGTGACCATGTCTCACATGCAGTGAATCTCAGATTTGTCTCTTTGACAATTTCTCCTACTTTGATCCCATAATTTCGTGACTCTACGCTAGGTAAAACGTCTAATGGTGGACGTCAGACAATTAACGTTAGGTTCATTGGAAAAAACTTCAGTAAAATGTGAATGGATGTAGTTAGGCGATTTCATTAATATAAATTATGTAATGATTTCTTGTTCCTAAATCATGCGATAGCCTTAAAACGGAACAATTGACGTCCGCGCGTTGTGTATGTAGCTGCATGTCGATTTATACGCTTAATTGAACTCAAAAATTCAGTACGAAACTATGAAGAAGCGGTGATGAAATAAATGGATGTTGAAAATATAATTTTAAATATTTAATTTTAATTTTATTTGTCTTTTCAATGCAATTGCAATTCCATGAAATTATTAGGGAAAAATTTCATGGATCAGGAAAAATTAGGAAAATTGTTAAGAAAATATGGGACTGGCATAAAGCTAAATCTCCGACCGCGTTTAGGATCTAATACCTGACCTTCGAACGGCTTGAAGATCATGAAAAAGAATATACATTCATATAACGTACAGATATTGAAAAAGAATGTACGTTCATATAACGTACAGATATTGAGGTTGAATATACATTCATCCATCGACCGCAGTTACTAAGTGACAGACGCAGGCTCTGAACCAACAGAGCTGCGCTGTCGCAAATACTTTACCTACAATGTACACCTTAAAAACAATATTAGCGTGGACTTAAAACCTTGTAGTGAACACATTTACATCTGTTTCACTGTACTGTAGTACTCTTTTTAACATACAAATTTGTGTATTTATATAATAATAAATATAGTTCAGCCATAATATTCTTTTCAAATTATCTCCAGAAGTTTTCATCTTACTTCTCGTTTACTGACAACAATCGCACTAAATAACGCAAATCGTTATATATATTAAATATATATTATATAAACCTCTATTTAATTATATTGAATTATTATTAAGAGTACATGAGGTTTTTTAATAATAACATTGTCCATTGGAACATATTTACATTTTGCCATAAAATTTGCGACAAGTGCTATCCAGTACCACATCACTGATCCCAATCAAAAACAAAATATACAACACAATAAATTTTAATAAAACCAGTTCAAATTCTGTAACGCAAGAAAATAGAAGGTTCTTTTCTACTCAAACTTAAAGTTCAGAAACTTTTTATTGTGGCTGTTTAATTTTTTTCTATTCAGAATCCTGGACTTTTGATGTACGACTGAGCAGTTGTACAGTGTAAAAATTCTTGAGTGAGGTGATAATGGTTTAGCATGCCAGGACTCTCGTAAATTTCACTTTTCGAAAATTATAAGACCATTATTTATTTAAAAAAGTACGATAATCTCAACGACAAGCTATATTTAGATTTTTAAATGTCTACAAGAAAATTATTAAATCAGATGGCATTAATTAATTTGCAAAAGTTATACATGACAATCATGTTTGGTTAAAAATAATGCCAGTTTTATTGAGGACATCTTTTGAGTTTAATCTCTCTCAAATTAATGTAATCTCGGCGCAGATGTAATATTAACATATTTCACGGGTTTGATGACCATGTCTCACATGCAGTGAATCTCATATGTGTCGCTTTGACGATTTCTCCTACTTTGATCCCATAATTTCGTGACTCTACGCTAGGTAAAACGTCTAATGGTGAACGTCAGACAATTAAAGTCAGTTCATGGAGAAAATTTCAGGAAAATGTGGATGGATGTAGTTAGGCGATTTCATTAATATAAATTATGTAATGATTTCTTGTTCATAAATCATGCGATAGCCTAAAAACGGAACAATGACGTCCACGCTTTGAGTATGTAGCTGTCGATTTATACGCTTAATTGAACTCAAAAAATCAGTACGAAACTATGAAGAAGCGGTGATGAAAGAA